ATAACATCTTCTGGTTTTTCCTGCAGCTGAAAGTCCGTCTGTAACTCTGCACACGTCACTGCTGACCTGGTGGATGTTAGAGGTTCAAGTGTCCTGTTTCCTGTCCCAGCCGTGTTCGTTTTTAATGACGAGCTCGGCGTATGTAAAGTAATCCCTGTGCACCGCTGTGCTCTACACACTCCGTTTATCGCAGGTTTTTCTATCGTTGGCTCTCTGTGATGTCAAGTGGATCTCCTTATATGGTCATCTCCAGTCCACAGCCCTGGCTGTGAGTGCAGAACCACCCCATGTTCAAACCTTTGTGTCTGTGAGCCACTCAGAAGATTGCTTTAAAAGGGGGAGGAGCTATAAGAGCTTGTGTTCAACGCTCAGTAAGATATGAAAGAGTTGTTTGGTGTCGTGAGTCAGAGCAAAAGCACGGAGCTGGAAATGAGTCGTTCCCAAAGCCTTTCCCGAACGTTGAATTCTCCCTTTGTTTTCTGAGGAGCTCCAAACTGTGGTCTTAATAATCTTACTCCTCTCTGTGGCTGCTAGGAGACACTGTGTCTGTAGTAATACACTATTTTTGTACACACTCACACACACAGTGCACCAATCCAATTACAGTATGATTGTCTGGAGAGCATCAGTGTAATGGAAGATCACATTTCTTCCTCTTGGTTCTTTCAGTTTTAATCAGATAACTGAAAGATTCTCAGCATCGTCTTTTCTTCCCGTTTGCTTTTGGACTGTGACGCTGACCCGGCTCTCGAGTTTCGGGATGTTGGAGTGTCCTCGAATGGACCATCGGTGCTCGCAGAAGCCGGTGATGAAAACTTCACTGTGATGGATTGCACAGCACAGACGCCGTCACGTCTCAGAGAGGATTTTTCAGAGGGAGTCGATGGCAGCCTGGAGGGAAGAAAGTCATTTAAAAACCAATCAGCGGAGGTGTCGAAGCATTTTTGAGAACCACCAACTCCTTTAATGTGCACAGAAATTCGTGTCCTTCATTCTTTAACCGTCTTTCTGGCATTTTTAAAATAAAATATCACTTGGATTCATTTGCTGTGATGAATGCTTTGGATTGTTTTATTGCACTCGAAGCTCCCGA